AGCAGGAATTACCTGGCACAGCCCACGCACACGGCCAAATTCTCCTTCTGGGGCAGAGTGGGGGAGGGGCCAAGCACATGTGTGACTGCAGCAGGTAAGAGGTGCCTGGGGAATGGGGAGGTGGCAAGTGCCAGGGTGAAAAGCCAGTACAGGAGGTGGGGGCAGGCTCTCTTGGCTGTTTTGCAGGTGGAGGCTCACGCTCCACGTGCCCTGCCCCAGCAGGATCCATATCCCCATTCCCTGTGGGATGCATCCGCACTGCTAGCGGCTAAAGAGTAGCACCTCAACCAAGGGCTGCAGGCAGGCATGAGCCCTGACATCAGCCCAGATAGGCCTATTTGTTGCCTGTCAAGACTGTGAGCCTAGTCCACCAAGGAACTTGTTATCCCCCACCAAATGGGGGACACCACTGGAGACGGGGAACAAGTGATTGTGGGGGACAAAAAATGAAAAAAAAGGATGGGAGTGCAGGTTACAGGTTCAAAAGGAGTGCACCACCAGGGGACACTGAGCAGAGCACCCCAGACAGTGACCACTGACTCAAGGTGACTGGAGAGCTGGCGGACACTGCCCAGTGATGCTCTGCCCAGAGACAGAACCAGACTAAACCTAGGAAAATGGCCCTGCTGTCCCCAGGGACCCTCCTGGCCAGAGACTCCTTCCTGGCAAGGTAAATGGCTGGCTTGGCCACGGCCAGGAGAAGGTTGACCAGGAGGTCCCCGGGCTTGGTGGGGCTACAGAGGAGTAGGAAGCCCATGCACCAGCTGCGGCCTGAGCTCTTTGTGGCAGCAGCAGCAGGAGGGCTCTGGTAGTTTCTGTCCCCTCCACACCCCCATCAGAGCCCTAGGGAAGCCAAGAACCACCTGCTGCTGAGGGGGGGCGGGGCTTTGAGCCACAGAAGGGGAAGATCTATTGAAGCAGCCCTGTCACATGTTGTTGCTGAAGCCTCTTTCCTCGCCAACAGTGGCAGCGACTCCCCGCTGCAGCGAGGGCTCCCTGGGCCCATCTAGTGCATGGTGGAGCTGCGCTGGCTGCACAGAACTGCTGGACACCCCGGGGAGTTCAGGGCCTCTGGGCAAATGGCTTGTTCTTCTGCCCTCCTGCCAGTGCTGGCTCTGCTACAGAGCAGGCTTGAAGCCTGTGCTCCCACATGAAGTTGCCCAAGGAACGAACTTGGGCAACTAGGGTTTCAAGCCATTCCTGGCTGGAGAGGAGACAGCTCAGAGTCGCCTCCTGTGGAAGGAGGCCTTCCTCTAATGGTCTTGTTTCAAGACATATACAGAAATAGGGGTACATGGTGGGGAAGGGGCTAGGGCAGTGCAACCCCAGCCCCTACCCTGCCATCCACCCAGAGGCGTGCATGCATCCACCCCAGCAACAAAGATTAGGCCCCTCGTAGCTCCCCCACTGTCCACCCCTGGCATGCCAATTGAGGCATGGGTTGAGGTTGGGGTGTTTTTGGCACTCTGGCTAAAAATGTTGCCGACCTTTGAACTAAAACATTGTTTTAAATTTCAGTTATAACAAAAATACAAGTTTATAAAATGTTACTGACTGAGACCAGGACACTAAAGTTTTACCAAAGACGAAAAATAACCCAAACCTTGGCACTGTTTGAAGTTATTTCTACAGGCTATATCTGCATGTCTGAAAGGATGTGGGTGAGAAGAAACACTTACAGCATCACTGAGTACTTCACTATTCATGGGTAAGATGTGCTCAATGCGGACAAAAGGTAAAAGGGGAGACAGGATCTCTCTCAGCTCCTCAATGTCAAGATCTCTCCTCTTTACACCCCGTTTGTTCACGCTGTGGGCAGTACCACTCAGTAAATTGGGCTCTATGAGAAGGAAGAATAGGTAGATAATTTTTAGGCATACTGATGTTTTAAATGAAGAGTTCCAAGTGCTAGGTTTCTGCTGCATGAAGGTAAAGTAAACCCATTATATTTCTTTGCTGCACATGAAGGAAAAGAAAACCTTCTTCTGAAAATCATGAATAGTGCCTAGCACTGGTATTCCTCAAAACCAGCCTGCGTGCTAGAGTTTGACAATCACCACTATAGTTAAGCCTGTCATATACGGACATGGATCATCTGCCCAAGCCATTGGCCCAAAAAGCCATTTCTCCCCAAACTGCTTTTATCTAGTTCATGCTACTACTCCTGTCCTGGAAACAGATGGTTTTTGCACAGCTGTACTCTTGCCACCCCACTGTTCTGAAGGACAGTGGCTTCCCCAGCAGATATTCTCTCTCTCTACATTCACAGATTATAGACCGGGCTCTACCGAACTCCAGGAGGCAGCCAGATGATTTCATGGGCAGACTTGTTGGGCTGGCCACCATTTTCATGGGCTGATCGCAGAGGGCCTTTCTCCCCCTGCCTCCCCCAACTGGTGGAGGGCTGTCCATTGTACAGCCCTGCCCTGTGTCACTGATTGGCTGAGGGCTGCCCATCATGCGGCCCCACTCCACACTGCTGTTTTGAGAGGGTGGGGCTACACGACAGGCAGTCCTCTCAGCCAATCAGTAGTGAAGGGCAACAAAGACATTTCTGCATCAAGCCAGGGTTAGTCAGGCTCTCTCTCAGGGTCAAGTTACAGAACTTCTTCTAGATATATCTCTATATACATATATAGATACAGAGGATATAAACTTCATTCAGTTTTTCCAAACTTGGGTTTTAGCCAAAACTGTAGCACAGTGTAATTTCCAACCTGTTTTTATATTGCATTTGATCAACAGCATTACACATTCAGCAGTCACAATCTGTGAGCATAACTTGAGAGAATAATAAATCAGTGAGCCCCCATGGACCATTTACTCAGTTACTTACTGGTGACCTCATCAACTTCCTTAATCCTTTATACATTCTCTAAAATCCTTCCTGCCTTTACATTCAGTTTGTACCAGAGAAATAATACATTTCTGAGTAACAAAAACATTTGCGTCCATTTTAGGAAACACATTTAGGTCATTTGATAGTTTGTTCCTCAACCTTTTAAGTTTGATGTGAAAGGAAACACTGCAAAAAGATGAAGATTGAAAGGCTGACAGTCAATTTAGAATAGAATAGACAGACGTGAAAAACCTGTAATAGCTAACCTAAATAAAATAGCTGAAGTTTCCTCCACCATTTTGTAAGTACATATAGAAAGTCACTAAATTTAAAAATCAGGAGTGGATAATCACTTTTAAGCAATGGAAAATTAAATGAACTATCAAGAACGTTTGTGCTTTTTGTTTGCGTGTTTAGTGCATAAAGGTTGTTTTAGTGAGGACAAATTCTCTGTCCCATGTAGTACTTTTGTTTCAAGCATAACTACACTTTTTTTTTTTTTTTTTTTATTATAGACCATCAGACTCATTTATTTGAAATTTGTTTTCAACAGCTCCAAAAGGGCACAAAAAATTAAACAATACATTTTTTATAAAGGTTCTTACCTCTGTCTGCTATTCTCTTCATCAACTGATGTTCTCCCCATTTAATAAGGTATTTAAGGATATCTTGTTCACTTGCCTATAATAAAATAAGACATTTAAATACAATGCACGCTTAGTTTAGCAATCCATTGCATAGAACCACTGAACTCTCAAATCTCTCAGGCAAAAATAACAATTTGGTCACCCCACAACACAAGAATATTCATGCTTTGTTCTATGCTCTGTTTTACCACTTGCTTTCAAGTATTTTACTTTTAAAAAGCATCTTACAAAGATAGTAGAAATAAAGCCAGACTTCCCTGCTGTTAAGCAAGACAAGTTTCCCAGAACAATTTAGTTCTCAGAAAAGCTGGAACACTTCATCCAATTAAAAGAGATAATTTATTTTAAAAATTCTTCTCAAACCAGAGCTTGTGGTCCTATTATTCATTAAGTTTTTAAGTCAACACAATCTTTCTTCAACTTTACAAGTCTTCGTTATTTTTAATTGTTTACTCTTTCTAAAGAAGAAAAAAAATCCTTTCATTATAATATAATTTTTCTACTCACAAATTCTGAAACTGCTTATGCCATACTCTACCCCAATGCTGAGCCAATGTTTTTGGCAGATGTACCACAAACTTAGCCCTGCACCCTCCCCAAGTGCCACTCCAATCCTTTTCCTTGCCTGATCTACTGCTCTGCTTTCTGCTACTGTACCACTTATGATACTCGTGTTGCAGGCTGGCCACCCCTGCTCAACCCAGTTTCTGTCTTCCTGCATATCACATTTTTATTAAATATTATTTTCAGCATGCCTGGATACTTCCTACAACAGAAATGAACAGGGCCATTAGTCCTTAGGGCTTAAAGGGAAAATTCTGTTGTCACAGGATCATAGAAAAATAAACCTGAGAAAGAAGTCAGGAGGTCATCTAATCCAACCTCCTGCTCAGATTAGGATTGTTCCCATCTAAAGAATCTCAGCTAAGTAAGTGTTTGTCTAACCTGCTCTTAAAAAAAAATCTTTTAGGATGGAGTCAACAACCTCTCTAGGTAATAGTTGCAGTGCTTAGCCACCCTCAAATTTAGAAAGCTCTTCCTTATCTCCAACCCAAATCTCCCTGAACATTTAGCACCATTACTTCTTGTCCTATCCCCTGGGAAGAGAGAACAGTCTTATCATCATCCTTTTTGTAACCACCTGCCAGGTATTTGAAGACTGTGACCAAACCCTGTCTCACTTCTCCAGAGTAAATCATCCCAGTTCTTTCAACCTTGCCTTATTAGTCACATTTCTTAGACTGATAACATTTTTTGTTGCTCTCTAATTGACTATTTATATCTTTCTTGGAGTGCAATGCCCCAAACAACATGGCACTCCAAGTGAGGTCTCACCAGCGCTAAGGAGAATGAAAGAGTCACTTTCCTTGATGTACAGGTCATAATCATATAAATACAACCCAGTATACTATTGGTTTGTTTTGCAATTTGACCATACTATTGACTGGTCCTCAGCTTATGATGCATTACAAACCCCACATTCTTTTCTGCAGTACTGCAACCTAATCAAGTCATTCTTGTTTTTCTTGTTTTTTTGGGGTGCATTTGATTGTTTTGTCTGAAGGCTTAAATCATTATTTAATCAGATTTATTTCAGATAACATTCCCACTGTGTCAAGGTCATTTTGAATCCTAAATTTATTCCTGAAAGTAGCTACTCACTCTCCCACCCAAACTGGTATCACCTGCAAATTTACTAAGTCTGTACTCAGTTCCATTCTTCAAGTCATTAAAGAAGGTATGAGCAGTACAGGATCCAGCACAGGTCCCATGGGTGGGTTAATCTAAACTTGAACCATCTCAGAACCTTTATACTAGCACCACTGTGGTTGGAGGTCAGGGCTGTATCTGAACTCATGACGTGTCGCTGGTTTAAATACACAGACAGCTAAAGAAGCAGGAATTACCTGGCACAGCCCACGCACACGGCCAAATTCTCCTTCTGGGGCAGAGTGGGGGAGGGGCCAAGCACATGTGTGACTGCAGCAGGTAAGAGGTGCCTGGGGAATGGGGAGGTGGCAAGTGCCAGGGTGAAAAGCCAGTACAGGAGGTGGGGGCAGGCTCTCTTGGCTGTTTTGCAGGTGGAGGCTCACGCTCCACGTGCCCTGCCCCAGCAGGATCCATATCCCCATTCCCTGTGGGATGCATCCGCACTGCTAGCGGCTAAAGAGTAGCACCTCAACCAAGGGCTGCAGGCAGGCATGAGCCCTGACATCAGCCCAGATAGGCCTATTTGTTGCCTGTCAAGACTGTGAGCCTAGTCCACCAAGGAACTTGTTATCCCCCACCAAATGGGGGACACCACTGGAGACGGGGAACAAGTGATTGTGGGGGACAAAAAATGAAAAAAAAGGATGGGAGTGCAGGTTACAGGTTCAAAAGGAGTGCACCACCAGGGGACACTGAGCAGAGCACCCCAGACAGTGACCACTGACTCAAGGTGACTGGAGAGCTGGCGGCCACTGCCCAGTGATGCTCTGCCCAGAGACAGAACCAGACTAAACCTAGGAAAATGGCCCTGCTGTCCCCAGGGACCCTCCTGGCCAGAGACTCCTTCCTGGCAAGGTAAATGGCTGGCTTGGCCACGGCCAGGAGAAGGTTGACCAGGAGGTCCCCGGGCTTGGTGGGGCTACAGAGGAGTAGGAAGCCCATGCACCAGCTGCGGCCTGAGCTCTTTGTGGCAGCAGCAGCAGGAGGGCTCTGGTAGTTTCTGTCCCCTCCACACCCCCATCAGAGCCCTAGGGAAGCCAAGAACCACCTGCTGCTGAGGGGGGGCGGGGCTTTGAGCCACAGAAGGGGAAGATCTATTGAAGCAGCCCTGTCACATGTTGTTGCTGAAGCCTCTTTCCTCGCCAACAGTGGCAGCGACTCCCCGCTGCAGCGAGGGCTCCCTGGGCCCATCTAGTGCATGGTGGAGCTGCGCTGGCTGCACAGAACTGCTGGACACCCCGGGGAGTTCAGGGCCTCTGGGCAAATGGCTTGTTCTTCTGCCCTCCTGCCAGTGCTGGCTCTGCTACAGAGCAGGCTTGAAGCCTGTGCTCCCACATGAAGTTGCCCAAGGAACGAACTTGGGCAACTAGGGTTTCAAGCCATTCCTGGCTGGAGAGGAGACAGCTCAGAGTCGCCTCCTGTGGAAGGAGGCCTTCCTCTAATGGTCTTGTTTCAAGACATATACAGAAATAGGGGTACATGGTGGGGAAGGGGCTAGGGCAGTGCAACCCCAGCCCCTACCCTGCCATCCACCCAGAGGCGTGCATGCATCCACCCCAGCAACAAAGATTAGGCCCCTCGTAGCTCCCCCACTGTCCACCCCTGGCATGCCAATTGAGGCATGGGTTGAGGTTGGGGTGTTTTTGGCACTCTGGCTAAAAATGTTGCCGACCTTTGAACTAAAACATTGTTTTAAATTTCAGTTATAACAAAAATACAAGTTTATAAAATGTTACTGACTGAGACCAGGACACTAAAGTTTTACCAAAGACGAAAAATAACCCAAACCTTGGCACTGTTTGAAGTTATTTCTACAGGCTATATCTGCATGTCTGAAAGGATGTGGGTGAGAAGAAACACTTACAGCATCACTGAGTACTTCACTATTCATGGGTAAGATGTGCTCAATGCGGACAAAAGGTAAAAGGGGAGACAGGATCTCTCTCAGCTCCTCAATGTCAAGATCTCTCCTCTTTACACCCCGTTTGTTCACGCTGTGGGCAGTACCACTCAGTAAATTGGGCTCTATGAGAAGGAAGAATAGGTAGATAATTTTTAGGCATACTGATGTTTTAAATGAAGAGTTCCAAGTGCTAGGTTTCTGCTGCATGAAGGTAAAGTAAACCCATTATATTTCTTTGCTGCACATGAAGGAAAAGAAAACCTTCTTCTGAAAATCATGAATAGTGCCTAGCACTGGTATTCCTCAAAACCAGCCTGCGTGCTAGAGTTTGACAATCACCACTATAGTTAAGCCTGTCATATACGGACATGGATCATCTGCCCAAGCCATTGGCCCAAAAAGCCATTTCTCCCCAAACTGCTTTTATCTAGTTCATGCTACTACTCCTGTCCTGGAAACAGATGGTTTTTGCACAGCTGTACTCTTGCCACCCCACTGTTCTGAAGGACAGTGGCTTCCCCAGCAGATATTCTCTCTCTCTACATTCACAGATTATAGACCGGGCTCTACCGAACTCCAGGAGGCAGCCAGATGATTTCATGGGCAGACTTGTTGGGCTGGCCACCATTTTCATGGGCTGATCGCAGAGGGCCTTTCTCCCCCTGCCTCCCCCAACTGGTGGAGGGCTGTCCATTGTACAGCCCTGCCCTGTGTCACTGATTGGCTGAGGGCTGCCCATCATGCGGCCCCACTCCACACTGCTGTTTTGAGAGGGTGGGGCTACACGACAGGCAGTCCTCTCAGCCAATCAGTAGTGAAGGGCAACAAAGACATTTCTGCATCAAGCCAGGGTTAGTCAGGCTCTCTCTCAGGGTCAAGTTACAGAACTTCTTCTAGATATATCTCTATATACATATATAGATACAGAGGATATAAACTTCATTCAGTTTTTCCAAACTTGGGTTTTAGCCAAAACTGTAGCACAGTGTAATTTCCAACCTGTTTTTATATTGCATTTGATCAACAGCATTACACATTCAGCAGTCACAATCTGTGAGCATAACTTGAGAGAATAATAAATCAGTGAGCCCCCATGGACCATTTACTCAGTTACTTACTGGTGACCTCATCAACTTCCTTAATCCTTTATACATTCTCTAAAATCCTTCCTGCCTTTACATTCAGTTTGTACCAGAGAAATAATACATTTCTGAGTAACAAAAACATTTGCGTCCATTTTAGGAAACACATTTAGGTCATTTGATAGTTTGTTCCTCAACCTTTTAAGTTTGATGTGAAAGGAAACACTGCAAAAAGATGAAGATTGAAAGGCTGACAGTCAATTTAGAATAGAATAGACAGACGTGAAAAACCTGTAATAGCTAACCTAAATAAAATAGCTGAAGTTTCCTCCACCATTTTGTAAGTACATATAGAAAGTCACTAAATTTAAAAATCAGGAGTGGATAATCACTTTTAAGCAATGGAAAATTAAATGAACTATCAAGAACGTTTGTGCTTTTTGTTTGCGTGTTTAGTGCATAAAGGTTGTTTTAGTGAGGACAAATTCTCTGTCCCATGTAGTACTTTTGTTTCAAGCATAACTACACTTTTTTTTTTTTTTTTTTATTATAGACCATCAGACTCATTTATTTGAAATTTGTTTTCAACAGCTCCAAAAGGGCACAAAAAATTAAACAATACATTTTTTATAAAGGTTCTTACCTCTGTCTGCTATTCTCTTCATCAACTGATGTTCTCCCCATTTAATAAGGTATTTAAGGATATCTTGTTCACTTGCCTATAATAAAATAAGACATTTAAATACAATGCACGCTTAGTTTAGCAATCCATTGCATAGAACCACTGAACTCTCAAATCTCTCAGGCAAAAATAACAATTTGGTCACCCCACAACACAAGAATATTCATGCTTTGTTCTATGCTCTGTTTTACCACTTGCTTTCAAGTATTTTACTTTTAAAAAGCATCTTACAAAGATAGTAGAAATAAAGCCAGACTTCCCTGCTGTTAAGCAAGACAAGTTTCCCAGAACAATTTAGTTCTCAGAAAAGCTGGAACACTTCATCCAATTAAAAGAGATAATTTATTTTAAAAATTCTTCTCAAACCAGAGCTTGTGGTCCTATTATTCATTAAGTTTTTAAGTCAACACAATCTTTCTTCAACTTTACAAGTCTTCGTTATTTTTAATTGTTTACTCTTTCTAAAGAAGAAAAAAAATCCTTTCATTATAATATAATTTTTCTACTCACAAATTCTGAAACTGCTTATGCCATACTCTACCCCAATGCTGAGCCAATGTTTTTGGCAGATGTACCACAAACTTAGCCCTGCACCCTCCCCAAGTGCCACTCCAATCCTTTTCCTTGCCTGATCTACTGCTCTGCTTTCTGCTACTGTACCACTTATGATACTCGTGTTGCAGGCTGGCCACCCCTGCTCAACCCAGTTTCTGTCTTCCTGCATATCACATTTTTATTAAATATTATTTTCAGCATGCCTGGATACTTCCTACAACAGAAATGAACAGGGCCATTAGTCCTTAGGGCTTAAAGGGAAAATTCTGTTGTCACAGGATCATAGAAAAATAAACCTGAGAAAGAAGTCAGGAGGTCATCTAATCCAACCTCCTGCTCAGATTAGGATTGTTCCCATCTAAAGAATCTCAGCTAAGTAAGTGTTTGTCTAACCTGCTCTTAAAAAAAAATCTTTTAGGATGGAGTCAACAACCTCTCTAGGTAATAGTTGCAGTGCTTAGCCACCCTCAAATTTAGAAAGCTCTTCCTTATCTCCAACCCAAATCTCCCTGAACATTTAGCACCATTACTTCTTGTCCTATCCCCTGGGAAGAGAGAACAGTCTTATCATCATCCTTTTTGTAACCACCTGCCAGGTATTTGAAGACTGTGACCAAACCCTGTCTCACTTCTCCAGAGTAAATCATCCCAGTTCTTTCAACCTTGCCTTATTAGTCACATTTCTTAGACTGATAACATTTTTTGTTGCTCTCTAATTGACTATTTATATCTTTCTTGGAGTGCAATGCCCCAAACAACATGGCACTCCAAGTGAGGTCTCACCAGCGCTAAGGAGAATGAAAGAGTCACTTTCCTTGATGTACAGGTCATAATCATATAAATACAACCCAGTATACTATTGGTTTGTTTTGCAATTTGACCATACTATTGACTGGTCCTCAGCTTATGATGCATTACAAACCCCACATTCTTTTCTGCAGTACTGCAACCTAATCAAGTCATTCTTGTTTTTCTTGTTTTTTTGGGGTGCATTTGATTGTTTTGTCTGAAGGCTTAAATCATTATTTAATCAGATTTATTTCAGATAACATTCCCACTGTGTCAAGGTCATTTTGAATCCTAAATTTATTCCTGAAAGTAGCTACTCACTCTCCCACCCAAACTGGTATCACCTGCAAATTTACTAAGTCTGTACTCAGTTCCATTCTTCAAGTCATTAAAGAAGGTATGAGCAGTACAGGATCCAGCACAGGTCCCATGGGTGGGTTAATCTAAACTTGAACCATCTCAGAACCTTTATACTAGCACCACTGTGGTTGGAGGTCAGGGCTGTATCTGAACTCATGACGTGTCGCTGGTTTAAATACACAGACAGCTAAAGAGAAGCCCAAAGGGCTGCTAGGAACATTTAACATAGGACAGATTATTTCCAATCTGTTTTATTTTCATTCTTTATGTGGAAAAAGGTTTTGCATGTATTGAATAATAGACTCTGATCTAACCACAGACCTGCACAGTAAAAGTCTGCATACTGTGCTCAGGTTGAGGCTATTAGAGGTGCACTGATATATTGGTCCCGTATCGTATTTTCTCCAATCTAAGGAAAATTAACAGTATCGCCAATCTTTTTTTTGGCTGATGTGGCCAATAATGTTGCCATAAATGCCGCATGCATGCATGCAGCCACAGCACAGCACGCAGGTGGCCTGTAGCACAGGCTGGCAGCTTGGAGAGCAGTGTCCGGCTGGTAAGTCTGTTGTGGGGGAAGAGCCACTGGGGAAGGAAGGGGTGTGGCAGGGGGCAGACTGAGGCCCCTGTGGTGAAGGAGTGGGGCTGATACTGGGGCAGGTGCTGCACAGCCGGAGCGGGTTATGGGACAGAGTCATGAGCAGCTTGTCCAGGAGCTGTGGACAGGGAGGGTGGCTCCAGCCACTACTTGCACCCGAGGGCATGGGGGGCATATGCCCCCCAGATCTATGTGTGGGGCAAGGGCGGGCTACCAGGCTCTTCCTGGCAAGGGGCTGGACTGGGCTTGGGGAGGGCGGCAGTGGTGCTGGGAGGGAGGCTACACAGGGCTACAGCCACCCCAAAATTCTCCACAGCCCCCCTACCAGCACTGCTGCTGCCTGCCCCAAGCGCAGCCCGGCACAGCCCACCCCCACCACGAAGAACCTGGCCCCAGCCCGCAGCAGCAACCCACCTTTGCCCCATGCACAAATCCAGGGGGCACCCCCACTCCCATGGCCTCCCTCAGCAGTGCGCACAGCGGTAGGAGCCACCCCTCTCCTCCCCCGGATGAGCCGTGTTTCTGTCCTATGCCCCACACTGGCTGGGTAGTGCCTGCCCCAGTGCCACTCCATCCATCACTGCGGGAGCCTTGATCTGCCCCCCTGCACACCCCTTCCCTCCCCCATCCCCCCACAACAGACTTACCAGCTGGACACTGCTCTCCAAGCTGCTAGGCTGTATATTGGCCAATACGGCTTGTTAAAAATGAGCCATCGGTATTGGCCCAAAAAATCTCTATCAGTGCACCCCTAGTTGTTATATCCAACTTCAAACTGAGCCATCATCTTATCTTCTTTGCTAAATGTCTGGCAGGGAAACCACCTTAGCTGGTAAAAGTATCCCCCTCAGTAAAGAGGCTGCAACGGCCTTAGGCAGATTAAGTTCTTAAGTAGAAGCAGGTCTAGACAGGGAATTCCCGTTCCACTTCTGCCATATCTTCCTAAACCAGGTGTGGAAAAATACAGATCTTCAACTTGGGGTTTTTTTTTTTATGTTGCATTATTTCCTAAAGCCATAAATACTTGTGAAGTTAGACACCTTCCTCCGTTCAGATTCAACTGTGAAGCTTAGTTGAGACTGAGGTAATTCTCTAAAGCTGGGGCTTTGAGCAAAATACTTAAAAAAAATAAATAAAATAAATAAAAAATCCAGAATAGAAACTCTTGAGAGGCTCTAAAGCTTGTAATGCCTTGTTCTAAGAGCTGTTTGCTCATAATGTTCACTGCTTCCCGAGCCAAATCCCTGAGAGACATGGGAGAGTGGGATATGACCCAGTGAAGGGCTGAGTACATTCCCAGAAAGAGTTTACAGACACATCCTGCACATCTCCTTGAGGAAAATAGGACACACTATGACCTCCTGCAGGACCCTGTGGAGGGTGGAAAGCTAAGGTTTTTTTCCCTCACAGAAAGGGATGTGATCTATTATTGCATAGTCCCTACTGCAAGGGTTATGTTAATGGACACTGACTGCACAGGATGAGGAGTGACACAGGGTCACCAAAAACAAAGGATTTATTTAATAATCATTAAGACTGCAGAAGCTGGCACCTTCCCTGGCACTCAACGCCTTGAAGGTAGAAGGACCCTGTGAGAAGGGATTGCTTTGTGGCTTTCTCAACAGTCTTAAAACATCTGTCCCACCCTTCAAATGCATGTTGGCTGGGGCAAGATTTTCTTCCTCTGGATCACTCAAGAGGAATGTGGCATTGTCTCAAGTCATCAGCTCCCAAAATCTTCCCTGCTTGCTCTGCAGACTGTAGGAATGTGTGTTCCTCACTCATGAGAAAGTCTCTGAAAAAAATCTCTCCCCAGTTACATGTCTGAAATGGAGGCAGCCAATTGTGCTGCAGAACTGTAGTCTATAAATATGGCCTCAATATTATGGATTCTGAAGGTCTGACACTGTAGTATGCAACCAGAACCTTCCTCTAAGGATAAAGGCATTCATTAAAATTAAATGGATCTTTAGCAATAGCTTCTTTAACATACTTCTTAAGTCTCAGATGCTTCCTAAGGGATCACTTATCTGTAGTGTATTACAGCCATACTATGATTTCACGGATAAACACAAAGCCAAATTAAAAAGAACCTACCACCTTAGTCTGGGATGTTAAGACAACACTCAAGATGAAAGAAGGACTTTTTATAAACCACATAAGTTACACAAATAATTCCAAGCACCAAGCTGTGCAGTATTACTAAAACCGTGACTGACATTGGTTTGAATCACTCAAAGCTTTAAGTCAGGGAGAAGGGAAGCACACAGATACTTCATGTATTGCTCAGTGATTAACTGCACATAATGGTGCTTAAATACTCTGGATTACAGATTTAGCTTTCACATTTGCTGACAGCAAATGGAACTGCCTGGGAGGAAAGAAAATTGAAGGCTACTGGGCAAGCTCAGACCTAAAGAGTACTCTGAATAATTAATCTCAGTTTAAGAAGGTAAAAGTATCTGCCATCCTGCCCAGAACTTCTCCAGCTCATTTTTCCCACTAGGATTCAGGTTCTGCATGATGAAAGGAACACTAAAGGAATGATCTCACTAAAATTAAAAAGGAGAGGAGAGGTTTTTAAGAAAGATTGCATGAATTTTTGTTCAACAGGTGTTAACAAATATTCATTTAAATGATTAATGACCATTTAAAGCAGTGCTATCCAACTTCTAAGCACCCGGGAACTGCATCAGCAGGGCCCACTGTCTCCTAGCGCTGTATCCCATGCACACAAGCAGGTGCTCCCAGGGTCTGAATTATAGGTGAGCCTGGGGGGGCTCAGCCCCCCCATAAGAGACAAGAGCCCCCCTATAAGTTTTGAAAATCATAACCTGGGGTGATTTTATTAGGGCAATGTGATGGACAGCAGCCCCCCCCCTTTTCTTTTTTTTGCAGAACTCCCCCCCAAGAGTCAAAGTGTAATTCAAACCCTGGGTGCTCCCTGACCCTGTTACACTAGGTAGGTGGGCACTGCTTCAACCCACTGCACCACAGGGCAGGGTACAGCAACCTGCTGTACCTGCAACCCCCTGAGGGCTCTTTCACAACATTATGTTCCCCAGGTTATGATTTTCAAAACTTATAGGGGGGCTCTTGTCTCTTATGGGGTTCCACAAGTGCTCTACCATACCCTTGCTCTGGGGACTGGGCCAGGCAACAGAAGCTGGGGGAGGGAGAGGAAGCCCCAGGACCCTGGCTGTTGCTGCAGCAAAAGGGGCAAGGGTAGCTGGATAGGAGTCTGGAGGCCGTATGCTGATCCCTCACAGGCAGCATGTGGCCTGCAGGCTATCAGGTGGACATTCCTGTTTTAGAGAAATGTTGGAGCTCTAAATATTTCTGTGCCTTTCAATTACTGTGGGAAAGCAAAGAAAACATATCCTCATGGAAGACCAGAATTATTTACCATTATTGTTACTTCTAAGGTAAAAAAAAACCCGAAAAACCCACACACAAGCAGAAACGTTTAAGACAAAAAAATGCAAATATTTTATACATCAGAAAAACAGAAGTGGGCACAACTACAATTTTAAAAAAAGCCCTTACAAGAAGCCACTTGTATTGCTTTCAGTGGCGACTTGACTCTCTCAAAGGGACAAAAAACTTGCAAGTTTTTCACTGGCCAATAAGAATATAACATTTTCCTAATAGTAAAAAGCCACTAGAAAATGGAATTTGTATTGGTTAAAAGCAAGGGATATTTTGACATCATTCCAGAATAATAAGTTTGGGTTTTTTTTGTATGATTAGCTGTTCATTGGCATTGTTCTTGCTAAGATGCACGTTGTTGTAGCAGAAGGATTACTACTATGTAATTTCCACAAAAAGCTAAACAGGCAAGGCAAAAATTAAACCTAGGAATGTTTCATTTAAAATAATTTGCAGCTGTTTCTAGACTATTATTAGGTTTTCAATGAGCAGTTTATACGATCAGATTAGGCTGGGTTACAAACCAAGAAAATGAAATACTTTTCCTTAAGTATTTCCTCTACTTTACCTCTACTTTTTTTAGTTTAAAAAATGTAATAAAGTTAATATTCATTCTTTTCCTTTAAGATCTTATATATATTAAAGGCTTCTGATAAATGGACAATGCAGCCTGCTTCAAAATATGAATTAGCTGGATTTTGAATTAAAAAGTTAAACAATCACCTGTAAGTAGTCAGATTGGATAGCAGTCAGCAGATGGTCCTTGCTCAGCTCGTAGAAAACATCTGAAGTCATAACCTGGGTGAACTCCTCACAGAGGAAATGCAGTGCTTGACGGTGCACCCACTTGGAACCATATGGCTGTGAACTCCACTTGAGAATGGCAATTAAGGTGTCTAGTGAGATGCTTTCAGCAATAATATCCTCACAGCCTACAACAATAAAAAGGAAAAAAACTACTAACAGTAGAAGAGACCATGTCATCATTTAGGAGTACAGCACATACGTAAATATATAACAAAAAGACCGTATAGTAGGCTTGTGCGAAGTAGCTAGTATTTGCTTTGAATTCGGCCGATTCTGGGGACAGTGATTCAATTCTGCGATTCGAATCACTGTCCCGAACTGGTTCGGTCGAATCTCCAAATCAGCCAGGCCCATCCCCCACAGACCGGCAATGGCTGCCCCACCTGCCCCAGCTCCCGGCACCTGTTAAAAAAAAAAAAGCCTTGATGCAACGGGTGCTGCCAGGCATCCTCACTGCCCCACGCTGCATGGGGGGCTCTCCACAAGTCCCCTGACCCCCCTCACTCCCCCAGCCCCACCACAGGTGCCCTGCCCAGGCCAGCTCCAGCCCTTTAAGAAAAAAAAATAAAAACAAAACCCCCCAGAAAACTGCGGACTCACCACTCCTGCCACTCCTCCAATCCCCACTGCCCCGCGCCATGTGGGGGGCTCTACACAAGCTCCTAAAACCCCGAGACCGCTGCAGGAGCAATGAGTCCCAGGGCTTTTCTTGTTTTTTTTTTCCCCAAAAAGGCTGGAGCTGGCTCAGGTGGGGGAGCAAGAGGGCTCATGCAGAGCACCCCCATGCAGTGTGGGGCAGTGGGGATCATTCTCCTGCCTGGCAGCAACCAGTGAGCACTGAGGCTTTTCTTTACAGGGCCAGGAGCTGGGGTGGGTCGGGGGCTGGCGGGGGTCCCCCCCCCAATGGTCTTCTGCCACCTCCTCCCCTGCCCCCCACTTCCCAGCTCGGAGTCCAGCTGCAGCTCCCCGATTCAGAGAGCTTTGAATTGATTCAGGCCTTTTAATTGGTCCCGATTCAATTCAGATTTGGAGATTTGGCCACCAAATTGGGCCAAATCTCCTCCGAATCAAATCACTACCTGAAGCTTTGCACAGCCCTAGTGTATAGCCCCATTACAACTGCATCCAGAAAGGTGATTAAGATGAAAAAGGGTTTAGAATAAGGTTTCTGCATGCAAATTTAACAGATTTATGCTTCTGGAATTAGAATAAGCCCCAATATTCATATTTTTAAAGCTATACAGAACACTAGATCAGTTTTAGTTACTTCAGATATTTCATGGACTCCTTGTGTTTTAAAAAAAATATATAGTATCTTCCATTTTAGCTGAAAACTGAAATTATTTATCCAAGTCCTGGCATTTTTGGATCACTGATTTTTACATCAGTTACCTCACCCTGTTAAACTGCAGCCTAGTGTTAAGTACTCTCATTCAGTATTATATATAAAACCAAAACTCAATTGGGAAGAGCTTTCTATAAACACCCGTGACACTATGTTTTGTCCTCCAAAAACCCTTTAAAAGAATCTCTTTTTTGCTGCCTATAATAACAAAAACGGCAACAACAATAAAAACTACTGACAATGCCTGGAATACTCATGTGCCAAGATGGCTACCTGTTACGCTAATCAATAATGCTTCCTTAATTTCCTTGTAATTCGTTGCCTTTACCCATCGGTTGGTTTGTCACATTCATAGACTTGAAGCTCTGTGAGGCTGGGGCAATCTTTGTTCTAAGTCTGCCCAGCACAATCAAGTCCTAGTTCAAGACTGAGGTTCTTAGATGCTACAGTAATACAAATTTATCTTAAAAGGAAGTAATAAGAGCCAACAGGCATTTGGATAGGCTTCTACAGACTTGCTTTGTCTCAACGTATATCAGAAACTGGAATGTGGAGCTCAGTTTATATAGCTTAGAACCCATTTTTGCTACAATGCAGATAGACAATTTTACGTTTTAGTGAACTGCTATTATAAAATTCTTTCCATTTTGTTTTTTTTTATAGAAAACTTTAACAGAACAGAGAACTTGGCACAGGCAGTGAAAGCCAATCACAGCCTCTGGGAGATTGGTCATAGCATGTTTAAGAGAGAAACTAACTTTTCTAAATGAAGAAGTATGACTTCCAAAGAGACATTTTAGTTTGCTGGTTGCACTCATCCTTGCTTTGCCTGATTCCAATGAGTTGTGCAGGTTTTGGTTATCAGTTGTATTTGCAAACAAAATGACTCCAGATGATTAAGCTCTCCTGAAGTTTAACTTAAATTGAAAGTTTATTTTAGTTCAAAGGGAATAAGCAGAGCCAAACATTAATTGAAATATCCCTCAAAAAGCAGTGGAAGATAGGAGGAAAAAGCCTTTTTACAGTCCTAAAGAGCTTTCTTTCACAGTGAATGTCAGCCATATTTTTTTAGACTTAACATTTATTTTTGGAAAAATAACTACAGCTGACCTGGGCAAGGGGGCAATCTACACTTAATTTTAAGATGAATATCACATTCTTATGTGGTCCTGAAAAGCTACGTAAGGCTATTAGGGTAAAGACTAAACTCTACACCCCCACCCCACCAATATAACCATGAGATAAGTTTTAAATTGTCTTTAAAGTCTGACTGGTGCACAGTAACATTCAATGCCACTACTGGATGTAAGGCTCATTTGGGATGCAGGTTAAGTGAAGTATTCATTTTCTTTATGCTGGTATTGCTAGCATGATGTTATACCCATGGTGGTCCAGGAATTATGCAAGAGGCAAGGATTTCTTAGGGTCCTTTTGGACCAACTGCATAAAAAGATGCCACCTTAAGAAATCCTTCCCTTCATTACAGTGACAGAAAACATGGCACACTGAAGAATTTCCTCATACAGATAGTGTTAGTTGGAAAATATTTTCATTCTTTTCTGGCTAAAGAAAGCAGGGCACCTGAAACATTAGATTGAGGGAACCCAAATTTCCTTTTCATTGGCAGAAAGTTTCCTTACTCTCAGGATCAGCCACTTGGCATAGAAAAAAAGTAATCACCTAACACAGGTTTCTCAACCCATGGGTTGCAACCATATATGAAAGGGTCGCAAACTAAACTGAAAAATGGATTCTTTTTTTTAAAGAAGAAAAACCAGGGGAAACTGGCTTTTCCCTTGCAGGCTGGCAGAGTTCTAGCCTGCAAGGGGCTGCTTGGTGGGCCCCCTACCCCACACATACCCCCTCCTGCCCCACACGCTAGGGGTCTAGGTCCTGGGGACAGCAGGTTGGGAGTGAGAGGCACAGGGCCCAGACTAACCATCAATGTTTACAATTGGGTCCTGGAACAAAACACCACTCACATAACAGACAAGAACATTCAAATGAGTGCTCAGTGCACAACTGCAGCCGCCTTCACTGTGCACAGATTTTGGGAGGGGGGGGACACGGACGGCCATGTGTCCCCCTGAGCCTCCGCTGGGGTTCGCACAGCACCCCTGGACATGCTGCCTGGGCTTAATCCTCCCACCACCTGCCTGGCTGGGGCCCCACTCACCTTACGCCTGCTCCTGCCTGTGTCACTCTGTCCCTCACTGTGGGAGCCTCAATCTGGCCCCTGCCCCTTCCCTCCCTCCCAGAATGACCTGCTGGGGGAAAAAAAACGTGTGCATGCAGGTGCTAAGCGCCCCCAGCCTCAGACCGACCTGAAGCGGCTTTGCGATCAAGCCTCTTTGAAGTTGGTGACCACTGATCTAACTCAGATCCTCAGATTGAGTTGTAGCCTGGGATCTTACCATGACTATAAACAGAATGCTAAAAATGAAGCTGTGTTGAACCTACACTGGTATCAATTCTAGTAAAAACTACACTTAAGTTAGCTCGATTGAGCCAGCGTAACTGTGGGGAAAGGGAGTTTTTTTCTTCTTCAAGGCAAGTCTGACTGAGCGCACCAGACCCAAGAAGCACAGCAGGACCCCTGGATATAAAAGTGTCAATAGGCTAAAGTAGCAGGAAAAATATTTGGAAAAGAGAAACAGTATCCTAGCTCTGGTTACTGAAGAAAATTTTTACCAACAGAAGTCCACAGTAAAGTCTGTATGCATAGGAGAGAGAATGTGAGCAGAAAATTTAACTGGGGAGAAGACACAGAAGATGAGAGGGGTTTGGGAAGATGCTGAAATTTAGCCTGCCCTAGAAATCAAAAAATATACTTTTTGCTTGTATGTACAGGCAGTCCTCGGACTTGCAACACAATTGCTTCCTGAAAATCGTGTCTTAAGTCAAAATGTTATACCTCAGAACTGATTTTCCAATAGGAAACTGTTATAAATGGGGGATTGGTTCCTGAACGAAGGCCCGATACCCTATTTTCACCAAATAGGGTATCTATTTTTAATAGAATTAAAATTCTATAACCCAGAATTTTATACTCAATCAATTATAGATTAGTAATATAGCTACATAATGTATTTATATTATAAATAGCAATCATATTGATTTGAAAGGACTTCTTTTAGGTGCGTTTGCTGGACTTTTTGAAGGGCTCTTGGCTGGAGTCTTCTCAGGAGTCTCATCTGCGGGTTTTTCTGGAGTCGTGTTTGCTTTCTTAAAGAAAGTGTCCAAGAAAGTTTGGACAGATGTTCTCCAGAGACACTGGTGACACATGGCATGGCATCGCATCAGATCAAGCGTTGTAAAGTAGAAACTGACGTCAAAAAGTCAAAACAGGGTGTCAATTTATAAACGCTGTAAGTGCTGTTGGTTGCAACTCGAAACATTGTAAGTTGAAGACTGTCTCCACAAGTCACAGTTTAAGTTGCAAAACTTCCCAGCTAACAAACTAGTTAAAATAACATAGGTGATTTTAAGAAGAAAAACAAGTCCTAAAAGTCTCCCTGATCTGTTCCAAGTCATGTTGCCAAAAGGCACTAATACCCAATCTGCTCCCGGAGTCTGCTCTAGAATTCTCTGTGCTATTTTTGAGAAGGGTTTTATATTTTTACTGTTTCTTCTAAACACACTTAAACCATCAAACACTCAGACATTCATGCATTACCACTGTTGGAAAGCTGAATGTAAAAGACAATTTTTCTTAACTGTTACCATGCAAAGTATGGTTTTTTTAATCCATTTTCAATACACATCTGGCTTTATTTTATG